ATCGCCGTTGAATCAAGGTAAAGATCTTAACTATATCTTTCTCTACTTTGAAAATAACCTTTTACGAGCTATTTTTATTATTCACTATATATATATATATATATTTTATTATTATTATTTTATATATATATATATATATATATATTTTTTATTTCGATATCCTGTAAAAATGATTCGCTTTGTTTTCTGAATTCTCATATCGTAGGAATTACGTACACGTATATTTACCTGTGAAAACCACTCCGTCGCACATACTACGCCCACGCATGTAACACTGAGAACGATATTTACGCATTCCTGACCCCACGCTCCGTCTATACATAGCCACGCTTGCGGTTACTCTACGTGGACCACCTGATCTGCTTTTCCCTCTCACGAGCAGCGTCGTCTCGATGTTGACGCGTTCCCTGAACGCTACAATTCATATTTCGTGTTTCCCCTTTAATCGTTTACACACAGTGAAATAAAACGTTGACAAGGGTTGAGGCTAATTTATATCAATGCAATCTCTGCTGACAAATTAGAACATACAATACTGCAAGTGTATTTTTGTAAAACAAGTCAACAATAAAATATATATTTTTCAACAAAACTATACCGATTGTATGTTTTCTTAAATCTAATAAAATATGTTATGGCATTTTAGTGGCGGAGCATCAAAAGAAATTGGTCGCAGAGCAGTTAGAAAGAAAAGAAAGACTCGCCAGGGAATTGAGAGCCGAGAAAGGACGACTCGAAGCGATGAAGAAAGAATTACAATCTCTCACGAGGCCTCTTGACTCTTCTATGCCTCCTCAAGTATGCAACGTTAAGATTAAGATTAAGACGATGTAATGTTCAACAAATGTATTATTATGTAATGATCATTTTTTAGGAATTAAAAAAAAAATTACGAAGCGAGATCTATCAGTTACAAGTTGAATGCGATAGACTCGCGGATGAAGTAGATCAATGGTCAGATCCAAGAGGTAATGATTTTATTATATTTTTTAATATTTTTTTCAGATAAAATATTATAGTTCAGTTGTTTTATTTATTTATTTATTATTATTATTATTTTTTGCAGTACCTTTGGGTGAAACGAATGAAAAATTTTATCAGCATATTTATACTGGTCAACCTTTACCATCGAGTTCTGTCAGTTCCAATCCACCGCCTTTGCCAAGTCAACCACCCGCCTGGCAACCTGAACTACTAAGTGATAACAATACTGACAGAGAAGAACGAGACGGACCTTCTTGGGTCTGTAGAATGTGCACGTTCGATAATCATCCATTGATGAATAAATGCGAACAATGCGATATGCCACGGTTGATGGATCATGGAAACACAGGTACGACTTCTGGAAAATCGATAGAGGACCTTACAACCTCGTTACCACCGCCTCCACCGCCTTTGGAATAGTAAACTCCAATGTCTTAACAGCATGTTTTTCTTTTTTTGTGACATTTGTGAGTTAACAGATAACTCACAGAATAATATTTCACAAACAATTAATTAATATATGAAAAATATATGATCTCTATACTTCTTATAGTGTGATGGAGCAATACAACCAAAGGTGATATTACTTTTCTATTGTAAAATTGCTCGTTGAAGGAATTATGTAATGACAACGTAATGATGAACACATACGGCATAAATAAAATAGATTTATTATGTACTTAAGTGCACGAATGTGTGCTATTTTCTACTTTTATGATTTTTCTTATTTTTTTAATGAATTTATTTTTAACATAAAGGCATGATTAATCTAGCATATATTTTGCAGTGTTATTTTTTCTAATTATTAATAATTTAATATTATTTAATAATTGACAAGTTAATAATCACAAATTGGTAAGTAATGAATTTTGAAATTTTTAAGTACTCGTATGAGATTATATAAAAATATATTAAATATAATATGAGTATTATAAATGAGTATTATAAATGTATATAATATATAATTTACAGGCGAGACTCAAGATATCCATATACGAGTTACACATCATCATAACTTTTCCCCAAGTCGTAAGTAATTTTTTACGTTTTTAATATAGGAATAAAAATATAAAATAACATATGATATAAAAAAATATTTGCTTTATTTTTAGGGACAGTGCATAGTTGGGTGGTATAACGTAAATTACATTGGAAACATAAAAACTGTAAATACAATCACTATTTAAATTAAATAAAAAGTTGCAGCCAACCTATTATATAGCTGTACCCCGTTCCAAGTTTAACTTTGTTTCACGCGTGTATTCACCATAGAATCTTTCTAATTTTTGATTGAATTTAGCATTGCGTTCGTTGATGTAATCAATATCAGCATCATCATTGTGCATTCTTCTTCTGCTATATTTATCTCTCTTTGCAATTCTAGAAAAAGAAGAAGAATTACAATATATGAATGTTGTAATTAAACATTAAGCTGTGAAATACTAACTGTTTTTCCAAGTCTTCAACCATTTTATCAATAGCTTCTTTTTTATCTTCATGAAGACCATGTAATATAGTATTTTTATCTCCATAAAAAGCTGGACCTAATTTATCTTTAGCTTCTTCATACGAATCCATGTTTGGTTTAATATTCTTTACTAGCCTATTGTATTGACGGATAGCTGCTTGTTCATAATCTGAAAAACCTGGATCAGGATTTTTCTTATTTTTTTTCTTTCTTGCTATACGTTCTGCTTCTGTTGCATCGATATGAAGTAATTTCATTCTTTCATAATCTTCTCCCTATGAAATGTATAATACAAAATTCAATAATTCTATGCTATAATATGATCTAATAATATTCATCATTTTATAACAATATCTACTTTTTCTTGAGCAGCTTTTCTTGCAGCTTCATCTTGTATAATCCATTCTGCTTGTCTTTTACGTGATGCCCAATTTGAAGGAAGTTTATTCCTTTTATCTTCCTCTACTACTTCTTTATGATTTTGTTGTCTGGCCTCATTCTATAAAATCAATATTTTGTAAGAAACATTTTTTTCAAAACTTATAAAATATATATAAAAAGTTATAAAAGAAATAAAATTAAATAAAAAATATAGGTTATATTGTAATTACTATACTTTGTACTCACTCTTTTCGTGTGAAGTTCCCGTAAACGTTTCATTCTCTCAGCATGTTTGTCTGCAAGAGATTTCTCACTAGTTGTATTTTCATTCTCCATTATAAAATGAAATTAAATAAACTTCTAAATAAGTAAAATATGCTTGTCAGAAATAATTCTGTCACTTATTAAAAGATTAGAACGTAATTGTTTGGTTAAACATTATCAACTGTAAGTTGCATCGCGTCACGTATACCGGAAGTTCCGATAGATGTCAGTAAGTTACGATTCGTCGACAAAAAAGGCGAACTCCGTTTGCCCGACTTCTGTGGGTGGTGGATCGATTGAAATTGATCTTCTGCTCTCGAGCGAACGAGAGCGCAATAAGCAGATCCTGTCGTTCAATTTGTAGAGAGCGGTGATATCGTTGTGGCAAGCATCAAGAGAAAAGTCAGGTGATTTTTCGTCCGCCGGTAGAAGATTGAGGTGGTACCGGTCGATCACAAGTTGCGTCGAGTTAGCAGCACTTGCCAAGGTTCGCGTTTGCGCGAACCCCGATGGTGAAACGTGACGCAGAATTGTACGCTGGCGGCGATTGAGCCGCAGAAGAAAGTTCGCGCTCTGCGAGCTTTTGGGGATTACCCGCGAAGCGCGGCCAGGGTACCGCGAAAGCTCTAGTGAGGCAATTACAAGAAGGATAGAAGAGATACGCACGCGACTCCTTACTGCGACACTCTCCCGGACAAATTAATTCTTCTTATACCGTTATGGAGACTCTCGAATCTAGTCGCGTCTGCCGCCTTTGCGGTAAGCAATCCGGTATCTCGATTAATATTTTTGACAAGAATGAGAACCACGTGAAGAAAATCAACGCTATTCTCCCAATCATGGTATGTCATATCACTCTTCTCCCTTCTACATTCGTATCGTTTCGTTATGAATTTCACGTGTATTTGGTGGTCTTTCCTGACATCATTAACGCCCCCTCCTAAATCACCTTTTTGTCAGAAATTGCACTAGGAACGTTCAATAATTTTTCTTTTTTTTTTTTAATGAAATTTAATTTACTAAATTTATGTTTTTTAATGTATATCTTTCTGATTAAATATAGCATATTTATTACAGATTTTAATTTTTTTTGTAAATATGTTTATTGATTACATTTATAATACTAAAAGTGAGGTTATTGTTACTTCGCGCCAATATGCCTCATAAACACTTTTCATATATTGCATAACTTCAAGTCACAAATGTTTTAACCCCTTATTATTCATGAAATAGATAAATTATAAATTTGAAAATAAATATCTGAAAGTAGAATTACTCTTAGATAACGAAAATATTAAATATCTTGTACTTGAAATAACATTACGGAAAATTTATTGTTTCTTTCAAGATTATTAAAATTAGTTGAATATTATATATTTTCGTTAACTTAAATTATTTTAGATAATTTAATAAAATTAAAATTATCTTGTATTTGAAGCTTTAAAAAAGTAGATATAATTTATATTACATATTGCAACGAATTTTTAAATATTTAAAGTCGACGAAAAAATATCACATATGTGTTATTAGAATCGAAATCATTTTTTTATTATATAATTATCTCTTTATCAAATATTAATTAATTTATATTTGGATGATGCCATTTGAATTTTTTTTTATTCATTTAGAATAAAAATAGAATTCATTATATTTCATTATAATAATATCGTTTTTTTTTTCTTTATTTTGTGTAAAATACCTTTATGATTTTATATTATTCAGATTCGAATATTATTCTTTAATTTCCCGCCCTTCATTTTCTTCATACATTTGTGCAGCACGTGCAATATATCCCCACCTCGTTTTCCTTATGCGACCACGTGAACTTAACACTCGCATTCGTATCGCGTGTGTATCCTGCAGGTACACGAAATGGACCTGTTGCCGAAACATATGTGTCATCGATGCAGTTACAAGCTGGAGGAGTTTCACAAATTTTATGTGGACTGTTTGAAGACAGATACTGGTTTGAAGAATCAATTATCTTGGATGCAAAAAGAAGATTCGAAGGAGAGAGTCGGTGTGCCAATGGTGCATATAGAAAACATTAAGATCAAAGTAGAACCGCCGGATTACGATATGTATGGCATAAATCCTATTGTTGGTGATGTCGGCTACATAAATTCGATGAGTTCTGTAACTTTTCCGATGAATAGTGTTCAATCTGATGATATTTCCGAACGTATAACGTATACAGCATACACACGTTGCAGTTGTTATTGTGATAAATCGGACCAAAGTAATGAAACTGTACCTACAAATTATAAAAACAAAATATCGAGATGTAGTAGGACAAATGAAATTAGGCAAGGTAACGATAGTTGCGCCAATGAAGCGCGAATTGTAAAGAAGAATTTTTTATCCAGTAAAACATTTGAGGGACGATCAAATTTAGTTCAGCTTGTCAATGAGGTTAAAGATGCTGATAGATGTAGGCCGACTTCTTCCAGTTTGAATTTATCTAATGATTTGAATGAATCTTATAATGCTAACAAAGAAACCTCAAAAGATATGATTGTTCATAATTTAAGACCTAGAAGGAATTCTATAAATTATTTAGAAAATAGAAGAAAACTTCCCTCTTTGTCATCATTGAAAAATGAAAACAGATCGACAATTATAAAGTCAGAAACGTCAGCTTCAACAGAGTTTAATATAACGCAAATTAAAGTAGAAAAACTCGATAATTCTGAAGGACGTGTCTTGAGACCAAGGAATGGGACCATCAATTATAGAGGACCAATACGAAAATATTCAAAATCCACGAACAATAACCAAAGATTGCAAAGTAATAAGCGTCAAGCGAATAAAAAAAAGGTTTTAAATATTACGAATGAATTAAAATTACCATTAAATAAGATGTCGAAACAATTAAAAAATAAAATAAAGTTAAAAATAAAGGAAGAAGAATCTTCGGATCTTAAGGATTTAATATTCGATGAATCGGTATCAGTCGCCATGTTGTCATTACCTAATCAAATTGATTCACTGCCTGAAGATTATGATGTAAATATAAAAAAAGATAATATTAATCATAATGCATTAAATCCCATCGATAATTTTAGTATAACAAATTGGAAATCTTTGCGAAATATATCGAACAATAAATTAAAAGCGAAAAAAATCAAATCGAATCGATTGACTCGTATAAATTATTCGCTAAGATATTTAAGAAGTCAAGATGTTTGTCTGAGAAATGGTAAGATAAGAAAATCTGATAGTGCAGATATATCGGTTAAAAAATTACCAAAAAGCCTTAAAAATCTTATGAATAGAAATAAAACATCCAATAAAACATTAATGAAGACAATTAGAAACAGTGTTACAGCTAAGATGTCGGCCTCAATGAAAATGATTGATATTAAACATTATTGCGAAGAATGTAACACAAGTTTTGCTAACAAAGAATTATTCAAATTGCATGCATGTTATGGACATTGATCTTTTTACAAAATCGGGAATCATATTATATAAAAGATTTATTTTTTAAAGGAAAAAATATCATTTGTATTCATACAAATACTAAACAAGTTTCATTGATAATCGATTATAAATATTTTTTTTTTCTTAATCCTTTATAAGAAATCATATGATGATTATAAATTAAAAGAAAATATGTATCTATGTAATTATTTTGAATACACATATATGCATTATTATCGTAATAATATTTTTATGAATGAAAATGTATAAATATAAATAATTATCAATTGTTAGTAGAAATTAAGACAAACGTTGCGTTATACGCTTAAGAATGTTATGTATGTAGATAAAGGATTCACAGATCGCCTTCAAAGTTTAAAAAATAAGATATATGTAAAAAAATATATAAATATATTTTAAAAAATATCAGATATTCATATACACAAAATTGTGATACATAGTGAAAATATAATAATAATAATTTTCCTTTTCATTCTATAAATTGTTATCTTATAGTTTAAGAAATATCATTTGTAATTGTTATTACGAATGAATTTATGTATCTAAAAGAATAATGATATACTTAAATCATTTTGCGTGATATATTGATCGAAAATTTCTATTTGTATCTTTAGAAGAATGACAAATTGGATTTGTGCAAAATGATTATTTTAATGCTTTGTATTTTAAAATATAATTAAAATTCTATTATAAATTGTTATTAAATATCAAGTGCATTCGTTAATCTTATTATATACATATATTATACATTATTCGTTATTAAATTACTTTATAATTTAATATGAATAATAAAAATGAGGAAAATGTGTAGTCATTACAAAACTGTTATGTGCTTATACTAATGAATCGAACAATAAATTCTCTAAGACAGTAAAAAATATTTTTCTATTGATTATTTTTTATTATTTTGTTATTTTCTTAAATATAATTATATATATATATATGTATATATACTTATTCCATTATATAATCGTTTCATTTTTTGTATTTTTTTCTTTAATGCGACATGTCAAACATATTTTACGTTATTGGTTAGGTGAGGTCGCTACAGGACAACCGTTGAGCGAATTAAAATTAACAAACAAACAATAAGTACGCTAAGTGTCAAATAATTCTAAAAAAAAATGATTGATTACTTAGATTATAATATTCAAAGGTATTATTAGTGAAAAATCCGAATGTCTTCAAATCCTCAAAAATCCCCTCATTATGAGGATGTAAGTATTTTAAATATTTTTATTCTTATGTATTAACCTATTTTAATTTTTAAAAAATGTTTGATTATTTATTTTGGATGATTTATATGAATAGAAATATGACAACTTTTACTATTTTGTTGCAATAATTAGGATTTCATGCATATTTAATTTATCTAGTTGAACTCAACCGAAGATGATACTTTGGGTACTTCTATTAGTCTTAGTGTAGGGGAAACTTCAATAAGAATAAAAGAAAAACCTAAGACATCTAAAAAATCAGAAGAGAAACATGAGGAAGAAAAGTGGTGGTTGAAGAAACCAGATATTTGGCTTGATGCTTCTCATGCTATTTCAATAGATGAGAAAATAAAACAATCTTTATCCCCTTCTCCGGATGTTAGTTCTTCAATGAAAGAATTTCTTGAAAAAGAAAAAATGTGTAAAGTAATTAAGACTTTTATGTCTTTTTATATCTTTTGTAAGATATTAATTTTCAAATAATGTGTTGTTCAGTTTTATAATTTAGTCTTTTATTTTATTTAGGCTATGCATAAAAATGAAATTGAAATGAAAGACAAAGATGACACTTTATGCGATGTTTTAGCTTCTGCAGCATTTGATAAATATCCTTCTGATTTTGAAAGTAAGTATTTTCAAAAGAATTATATAATTTTGTATAATTTTTTAAGTGTATTTCTTTTCTGTTATACAGATGCAACTGATGAAGATATTGGTAGTATTTTAGAAGAAATGAGTAAGATAGCTGGAACTTTTAGTCCAAATTCAGCTATAGATCGTTCAAAGTCTCGAGATTCAGCCAAAAATCCTATAGAGGAAGAAAAATCCGTAGAAGAATTATTAGAAGAAGCTGAAAAACTTGTAAGAAAAAATAGTAGCAGTTTATCTAAGAGTGGATCAAAATCTGATACTTTAGTACCTGAGAATATTCCAGAAGATATAGAAAACCTTAGCAGAGTTAGACAATTAGAAGCTGATATCTTTCAATTGATAGAAGAAGAAGTACATAAAGAGACTGAAAAAATCAAAAAAAGTCCAAAAAATGAGAAGAAGAGAGACAGTAGTCCTGGATTTGAAATTTTATATGAAACTGTGAATAGTTTGAAAGCTCCAAAATCTCTGGAACTTCAAAGAAGAAAATTTGAAGAACAAAAAGTAGAGGTATCTAGTAGTTCGGATTTAGATGATCCTATTGAAAGACATTCCAAGTCGGAAGAATTAAAAAGTATAAGAAAATTGGAATCAGATAAAGATAATTTACAAAAAGAAATAACTGATGTAGATAAGGACTTTTTCGAAGATTTATTGAAAAAATCTAAAGAAAAAGTTGAAGGTGGTATGTCAGGTAGTTCAAGTTTCGGACAAGAAGACTTTTCGCATTTTTTGAAACTTTTGCAAGGGCAAACTAGTAAAAAAGAACAAGAATCAAGCCAATCTAATACTATACACCCTTTTCTTTCAAAACCTGAAAAAATATTTACTTTAGATGGAGAAACTACAAATGGCAAAACTCCTGAATTTCCTGAGAAGGAAATTTCCGATATATTAGAAAAGGAATTACCTCAGACAAATCCAAAAATTGAACATGAAATTGTTGAAACAGATTCTAGTGTTGACAATGAAGAAAAAAAGCAATCTTTAAATGTTAATAATAATTCTAAAAATGAAACAGAACTATTTAATAAAAAAGAGGAAATATCTCCAAGAAACATAACTGTATCAAAAGATGGTAAGAAAGTACTTAATTCTAAGGAAGAATTATATACAGTTGATCTTACGCCAAGATTAGAATTATTTGCAGATGCAATTCCTAAATTATTGGCTGAAAAGTCAATAGAAAGTACAACGCAACAAGACAAAGAATCCATGGAAGAACCGAAGACGATCGTACATAAAACAATTACAAATTCCGAAATTAAATCTAATGTTAATGTTACAATTCCTCAACGTGGTAACATAGAACGTAAATCTATCCATCTGGCTAGTGCATCTAGCAATAAATCACAAAAAAAAGAGTTAAAATTTTCTAAATCTAAGAGTTATGATCAAATTTGCAAACCATCATTTAGAACTTCCACAGAGAATATAAGAGTAAATAAACCTTCGGATGTTATGAAAAGACCTACTAATAATGTAATTAGACGATCGCCAACATTGAAGCCAAAATTGCAACCTACGGTTAAATCAATCACGAAAACTCTTCCCAAGACTAAAATAACTCCAAAGCCAAACAAAAATTCTGTTAAGACTGGTTCTACTTTCACTTTGTCTTCCACGTATAAAACACACCAAACTAAATCATCAGACATTTACGCAAAATGTACTACAATGGCAGGTGGTGATACGAAACAAAATTTAACAAAAACGAATTGGGAGATATTATGTCGTGAAGAAAGACATAAGAATACTCTATTGAAACAACAGTTGGAATCAGAAGTGAAATTGTACAAGAGTCAGATAGACAATATGCGTATATCCTTTGAAGAAGAATTATTTGCATTAAAGAAACAAAATATTATTTTAAAAGCAAAAATAGACGAACTTTCGTTAAATGAGAAACGACCAGATCCTCATCCAAAAAAAGATACAAAAATTATGCTTCTAGAAAAAGAATTAGAGAAACAAGAGAATTTGATTCAAGCTTATGAAACGGAAAATAAGAAATTGATGCAGGACACAAAACGAATGCAGGAGGAAATGAAGCAGCTACAAAAACAAAAAAGTACAACTCTTGAATCAGGTAAAATGCAAGAACTTGCAGATAGAATCAAGGATCTCGAGGAAGAGGCTTTGAAACTTAATCTCGAAGTCTCTGAGCTTCGAGAAAAAAATGCTGATTATGCCTTGAACAATGAAGATTTGATTCAACAAAATAGTCTTTTAAACGATGAATTGGAAATGTTTAAGGAACAGTTAAGAACAAAGAACGATTTCATCACAGATCGATTACAAGCGATGACTACGTCAGAGTTACAATTGAAGAAACAAGTAGAGGATTTGACAGTGAAATTGAGTTCTAAAACGGAACAATTGCGAGTGGTAAAACAAGAATTCGATAAAGTGCAACAGAATGTGCTCCCATTAGAGAAAGAACTCTTAGAATTAAGGGTTAAGGAGGGTAATCTTTTAGAAAAATTACAGATATCCAAGAGTCACGTAGAACGTGAGAAACAATTAACGCAAAAATTAAAAGACCAAGTAATTCTTGATAACAAGAAGATTACAGATTTGAACAGACAGGTTCGTGAAATGGAAAGAATATTAAAGAGAAAAAATCCTGATTCAGTGTCTGCTCTTATATTAACTGCGAATTCTGAACAAGAAAAGATTGGCGCAGAGAAAGTTAAATTATTAGAAGATCGAATTTTGAGTCTCGAAAATGAAATTAAGGCAAAAGATGAATTAGCACAGCAGAAATTGATCGAATTCCAAAAGAAGTTTTCAGATATGAAAGAAAAATATACTACTCAAATAATAGAACTGGATGGTAAACTATTGGAAGCTAATATGAAAGATCGTAAGGTGTACAATGATATGTTCACGCAAACTGCATCGAAACTTGTAGAGAACAAGAGTGTAGAAACTATTAGAAAGGAGGAGAGGGCAGGATCGTTTGAAAAGGAAGAGAAAAAGGATCAAAAATCTTTTGCGAAAATTACTCTAAAATCTCAGAACTCCAAAGACGATGCTTATCTCATGGCTACGATACGTGGATTGAAATTGGAGCTCACGAATAAAGATAAAGCGATGTCGAAACTCACAAAAGATTTCCAAGAATTGCAAAAAACGAACACAAGATTGCAGAAGGAGAGGGAAAAGTTGTTGAACGATAGAAAATCATTGAAAACTATGAATTTTGAAAAGAATCGTGGTATATCCTCGGATTCAAAGTTGTTGACTTTGAAATCTATCGAAGGAAACGATCAGAACTCCAACGTTTATCAAAATGGACATGTATCTGATACTAATACTCAACGATTAACCAATTCAGCACAAAAGCTTTATGATCCTATGCAGTATACCGAAAATGGAGATACAAATTTAGTGAAGAGATTGACCGATGAGAATGATATTCTAAAAGAGGAACTGAATAAGATGAACAAGGATTTCATGGCTCTGAAAAACAAACGACTTCACGATTTGAATATTTTGCAAGAGGAACACGAACGTGAGATGGCCACTTTATTGAAGGAATATAGCGTGAAATTCGGAGACTCTAAAGTGGTAAAGTTACAGGTTCGTTGTATTACGTGCAGTGTTCATTTATATTTTTTTATTTATTATTTTTATTTATCTTATTTATTTATATTATTATTTATATTACGTTAAAATATTTTCCATATATCTTGCAATATTTACATACATATCTTGCACGTAGTACTGTTATTATGTACATATGATCATTTTATAAATACAATGTTCTTATTGATAGGGTCAAATAAATACTCAAGTAGCTGTGATATCTCACTTAAAACAACAAATAGAGAAATTAAGAGATTACAAAGAGCAAGTCGTTGTCCTAAAGGCTGAAAGGGATCATTTAGAAAATAAAGTGAAGACATTGAATGAAAAAGTGAAATATTTATCAACACCGGTATGCGATTAAATATTTATTCTAAAACATTCATTTTATATATTCATTTGTAATTATTCTACCTTTTGTTTTAGAGTACAGAACAATTGCAATTATTACAAGACAAGATAACGATTCTTCAACAACGACACGAAAGTCGCGAGATGACATTACAAAGTTTGGTGCGCGATTTACTTAGAAATAGAACCCAATGTAAGGATTGTAAAAACGAGAAGGGTAAAAATCGACAATTGTGTTATTTCCGACAAGAGCTTGATCATATTCTTGGAATGCTTCAAGAAATCGCCAATGTTCATTAATTTTTAGATGAACTAGAATATATTTATGCGCAAGGTGGTGCTCATGAAAAATATCGAGAAATCGATAGAATTGTAATTTCTCGATTCGTTATCGGGCATTGTGATAATTCGTATGTTCAAGTGTACTGAAACGTATCTTAGGTTTTTGTTAGAAGTTATCATGTTGTTAGGCACTTTATAAATATGTAAGTGGATGCACAGCCAAAAAAGGTTTGATCGATGTTTTTTTTTTTATCGATCTTTCCACGAAGGCAACACGATTAATTGTTCATGGTCGCGTTTGCAATATGTTTAATTATTCTTATCATAGGATATGGAAATTCAGTGAAATCATATCGATCCTGGGAAAGTTCGTAACATAATGATTGACTGGGATCACTGCCAAAGTTAAAGCAAAAGAAAAGACGAACAAATAACGAAGTTACCGTTTTATCGTAACTTCTCGTCGACATTCCTTCTTGCCATTGTGCGTGCAATATGCATGGACAACGTCCATAGTTGGAGTAATAAAACTATAATAATCGTAATATCAAATGAAAACATAGAAATATTTTGATCTATATTTACTAAAAGCAAACTTTTTATTTATCTAATAACGTAGGTTTAAAAATTGTCGAAAACTTGACTGCTTCCAAATCGGAACTATCTTTAGCCTTGTATTTATTGTCAATTTGACGAATGGATAGACAGACCATATGAACGTATAGGAAGCATCTTGAGGAAATAAGATATTTTCCAAAGTTGCATAGGAGTTAATTTTTTACATGAGGCTTTTTCAAGATATGCTAAACACGAACGACTCGGTTATATAATTGTATTTATTTTCTATTTATATTCACTCATTTTTCGCGATCAACGAATCCATCTATAATCAAGTCGTCCAGTTATATTATACATATATTTATATACATTTTAGGAACATTCATTAAACGTTTTAGCAATAGTTTGACTCTATACTCACACGACGAACGAAGCACACGCATATCGCACAAATTCGACGTGTCCTAGATGTAATAATATTAAAAAACTTTGTTACACGATGATCTTAGAAAATAATTCTTTGCTTTCAAGTTATATCAAATCATGTTTTTATCAAATCATTGTAATCACACAGAGTATAGTCACTTTTTCAAGACTGGATATATGTCGTTGCATTTTTTTATAATTACTTTTAAGCCAAACAGCCATGATGTACAAACCGTGAGATTATGACTTTAATAATAAATTATTTCTCTTCTCTTTGACCATTCAGCTTAATATTTGCTATTATATAATATTATTATTATGCGCATTTATGCTATTGTCTTTTTTCTATGATGTGTGATGGAATAGATGTGCAATGGAAAAATGATTTTCACAGGAAAATATTGAATACATTTACATTACGTTTAATTTGAACAATTTATTCGGACAAAATATATATTTTTAAATACATGCGACACATTTCTATCTCTATGCAGGATACATTTATCAGCTGTACATTAATATACAGTTTCTTGTTAAATACATAGCAATGCCAAAAAATATTATACTAAAACAGTGATTAAAAGCAAATCTTGGAAGTAGCAAATTGTTATTCCTTCTTGGATAAGATTCTACCATAGAATGAATTGTGGTGCCTGGCTCACGAAGTTGCTATAACAAATAAACGCATTTTATTAATTTTGCAATTGATTAATTATCTTTCATGTTTCAATTAGGATACTGGTATGAATGGATGTTTGCTTACCGAATGAAAGAACGTTTGCCATAAAAAATGGATAATCCATACATTGTACAAAGACCAATTACAAATGCCTGGCGGATAATGTCGAACGAAACGTGACTCTCTTGTTTCAGGAATTCCATGTTGCCCATTCTAGGTACGTATTCATTGTTATGGATTAAAACTTTATCTCGCATTGCTAATGAACGTGTATTAACAGGAATTCTGGAATTGCGTTCTTGAATCGGAAGCCTTGACGATCGGATATGCCTTCGGAGAAATGTTGAATCTTCCGATAAATCTCGGGAGTTTGATTGTCTTCGAGAGCGAGAATCTCTGTCTATGGAGCGAACGTGTTCTCTGTCTACGGAACGAGATCGTTTAATATCGTTTAGGGATCTATCTCGTGAAAATATTAAAACTGTTCGAACTCTTTCAGCGTCTCTTTGTTCCTTTTCATTGAATTGAATGTCATTTGCGAGAAGAGTAGGCGTAGTGCTAATTCGTCTTTGTCCGTCAATGTCAAACCTTTGTCTCATAGATCGTTTTGAGTTCAAAACGCGTCGATCGGTCCTTAACTCTGCGAGACGACGTTCCATGAGTCGACGATCAGCTCTTTGTTCCATCAGTCGGCGATCGGTTCTCTGTTCCATCAGTCGACGATCAATTCTCTGTTCCATGAGACGTTGGTTAGCTTTTCGTTCCATAGATCGATCAGCTCTTTGGGCCATAAGTCGGCGATCAGTTCTCGGTTCCATGAGACGTTGGTTAGCTTTTCGTTCGATAGATCGATCAGCTCTTTGGTCCATAAGGCGGCGATCAGTGCTTTGTTCTACGAGACGTTGGTTAGCTTTTCGTTCTATAGATCGATCAGCTCTTTGGTCCATAAGGCGGCGATCAGTGCTTTGTTCTACGAGACGTTGGTTAGCTTTTCGTTCTATAGATCGATCAGCTCTTTGGTCCATAAGGCGGCGATCAGTGCTTTGTTCTACGAGACGTTGGTTAGCTTTTCGTTCTATAGATCGATCAGCTCTTTGGTCCATAAGGCGGCGATCAGTGCTTTGTTCTACGAGACGTTGGTTAGCTTTTCGTTCTATAGATCGATCAGCTCTTTGGTCCATAAGTCGGCGATCAGTTCTTTGTTCTACGAGACGTTGGTTAGCTTTTCGTTCTATAAATCGATCAGCTCTTTGGTCCATCAATCGACGATCAGTTCTCTGTTCCATAACTTGACGATCCATCCTTTTTTCGATAAGTCTACGATCAACATTTTGTTCCATAACACGATCAGTTTTTCGTTCCATAAGTCGACGATCAGCTCTTCGTTCCATGAGTCGGCGATCTACTCTCTGTTCCACAAGTCGACGATTAGCTCTCTGTTCCAAAAATCTCCGATCAGCTTTGATTTCTTCACGATTCCTGGATTCGACAGAAGTGGATCTCCTTTCCAAATTTCTTTTAGATTCTACGAGCATTCGTCGTTCTGAGCTACGATCGCGAGACGAATCCCGAGTAACTCGTTCAGATGCCCTGACGTCGAGTCGAGATTCGCGTCGTTCACGAGCCAAATTCAATCTGTTGTTTCTCTCTCGTCGTTCCATTTCATCTCCAAACCGTTTCAACGATCTAAGCGAAGAGTCTCGTCGTTCGTTCGTCCTTGCGTCCATACGACGATCCAATCGACTAACTCTTTCTCGATCACCAGCTACTTCTCGTTGTCCTGTAAGAGACCTACGATTTTGCTCCGATCTAGAATCGCGTCTGGTAATCGCCAACTGCATACGGTCATTTCGCCTATCCCTCAATGATCGATCGTTCCTTTCTCGACGGAAATCCGTAGATGCTAGCCGTTCCAAAGATCGTGCGAGACGTTCTCGTGAATCATTTACTCGTCCGTTTATTTCGCGTCGCCTATCGGTAGACCTCTCGAGCAACATCCTTCTTTCAAGCTCCTGCAACGCAACCCTCGAGTTTCGCGATCGAGAAAGTCGAGTCGAAGGATCGGACGCAGGTCTCAAGCGGTCTTGGCTTTCGCTTCTAAGTCTCGATTCCACCCTACGATTGTTCTCGATGCCTGTCTCCCGTCTATCCGATCTCTCCACCCTCCTAACGTCTTCACGAGATCGAGTTCTGGAGATGCGATCCAAGCTACGAGATCGAGACAGTCTGACGTCAGCCGGTGTGATAGAAGTTGCTGTGGTCGTCGTCGAAATCCTGGTTTGGTCCTGCTCGAAGCTCGAGCAAGAAGGCATCTTGGTGAAAGGAGTCAAGTTAGGGCAGGCATCCACTCTGCGAGGAAAATACCAAATACCAAAGAGTTTTATAATAATATATATTATAATATTTTTAATATGTATTTATATATATTTATTTACATATATTTTTAATTATTATAATATTTGTAATCAAGTACTCGATTAAGATTCTGATGCTAAGTCTTACTCGTGAGGTGCTTGGTGCTTTAATTCAGGTCCCGCCAAACTTCCTGCACGGCCTTCCTTGTCCCTGGAGACCAGGCCTAACGTGAGGCAGGCGAGGGAGACCACCAGAAGGCCGACGTAATGCCAAGCCCTCACTGGCAATGCAACGTATCGTGTACGCCGCATCTTTGGCATCAAACAAGGCATTCTCAGTCCAACAAATCGATTTAAAAAAATTTTAATTATCGTTTTAGACTCACCTCGCTGGTGTACAACGACTGTTCGATAAGATTGAGGAAGCGACTCGTGTCGCGCCTTGGAGCTCTGGAGAGCTGCTGATGCTCCGTGTCCCAAGAGACCGGGCTTTTATACCCGGCGGAACTCCACCGCAATTCGATACCGGCCACCAATTCGGTGCTTATCAGCACCGACCACATGGGACCCCCGTATTCCGATACACGTGAAAATCACCATGAATGAAATCGGGTCGAGAAGAGTATTGCAAACGCCTCCGTGATTGGTTAACCATCCGGAAAATTGCGAATCGGAAACACCTGTGTGTGGCGACCGATATATCGGCTATATCCAATTGCCGCGTGGACGAGCTTCAAAACCAATCATCTATCACGAGAGATTCTTCTCCCTTCGAAAAAACGAAATTCATTTCGCTTTCGAATCTTCTTAACTTCGTTAAGTTTATTCGATTATCGTTTAATATTTTTATTAAATTATTAACGATTCGATCGAGGTGTGGAAAATTTGAGACAAATAGAATTATTTCGGTGACTGGTTTATCTTTTTTTATTTCTTTTATTTTTATACAAAATCCATATAAAATACAGGAAAGGCTTGTAGCGCGAATATCTTATAAATAAGTAGATGGTATATTTACATTGTACATATTACATTATTATTACATTATATATATATATATATATATTATATTATATTTCTATATATAAATTGGACCTCAAAATTTTTCGAAAATTTTGTCGTCTCTCATCGGCGAAGAGACAGTTTGTCCGTGAATTATTATCTTAATTAATCTTTTTCGCTTATTTTTTTTTTTTTTTTTTTACCTTTTTCCCACAGTTACCAGTTTTTTAGCGAAACCTTTTTAGGGGGTTTTTTTTTTTCAATCAATAAAAAAAAAAAAAAAAATAAGCGAAAAAGATTAATGAAGATAGTAATGCACGGACAAACTGTCTCGTCGCCGATGAGAGACGACAAAAGTTTCGAAAAATTTTGAGGTCCAATTTATATATAGAAATATAATATAAGATATATATATATATATATATCTTATATTATATTTCTATATATAAATTGCCCCACAAAATTTTTCGAAATTTTTGTCGTCTCTCATCGGCGACGAGACAGTTTGTCCGTGCATTACTATCTTCATTAATCTTTTTCGCTTATTTTTTTTTTTTTTTTTAGCCTGTTTCCAACAGTTACAGATTTTTAAGCGAAACATTTTAAGGCGTATATTTTTTTCAATCAATAATATACAGCTCTTTTAACGTTTAAAATTTTTAATTTTAGGAAACGACGATTGTCAGGATTAGAATCGTGAGGAACGTGACGATATCGAAGTACGAGGCCCCCGACGCATTGGATAATTTTGCCATTTCCGTGCACATCGTTTCATTTACTTCCGGTAATTCCGTGTAATTAGGGAACGTTTGTATGTCTGCTGGCTGTAAAGAGGAATTTTAATCAGTGATTTTACGAAGAATCGTACGTATTTTAACCCTTTGCTCTCCAGCAGTGACTCTCGATCTCCACTTGAGTTGACTCTCCACTGGAATTGTTGCGGTAATTTGAACGGCGACAATATTTATTTATGTTTGATTTTTTTAAAATGTCGCTTCATAAATAAGTTTCTAAGCTCTTTATAATCTTATGAGGTGTAATCTTATCTTACGAATTATCTATGGTATTAATTATCTTATGAGATCACTAAACGCGCGGATCTGAGTCTGAAGCTGGTTCGACCGAGCGAAACGGGCCTGGAGCGCAAAGGGTTAAGATACCAACGTACCAGAGCAAGCTTGTCGTCTCTCTTTCTACAGAAAGTCATGTGTCTTCCGTGATACAGGTTCTGCTCGATGGCTCTTGCGAGAAGTTCTTCGGTCCAGGGTAACGCCAGCATGTGCTCCGCCAAAGTTCGACCTTCGCACAATTCAAACAATTTTTCGTTTATTCGAAATCTAAAGAGATCAATTTTTGTAAAGTACGTATATTTTAAATACCTCTGAACTCTTCCGGTTCCTCGATGATCAATCTAGAGAAAACATTTTCGTTATCCTGTTCCAGAGTGTAATCTTTCACGGCCCTCAACGCCGACTTGGCCTCCCTAATAAGCTCTTCGTCGATATCCTCGCTAGGCCTCGTTGCTGGGTAGATAGGAAGTTGCTGTTGGCCGGTCGAAGGAATGGTCACGGCATCCGTTCTGAAGTAAAACGAAGTAACGTTGTTGGTGGAAATTTGAATAGAATTCTAATATCTATTAACCGTCGTTACTTACCTGGTCGTTAGGAAAAGCTTCTCCAAATGGTCCATAGTGACACCTTTGAAGCTGTACACCCCTAACGTTTTGAACAGATGCTTCAACGGCGTCATGCTGTAGCAAGCAGCGAGCGGTGTTCTCGGATAGTGGACTACGAAGGCAAGACACATCTCCTGAGACGCCGCGTATCCTCCCAAGGTAGGCTTGGTCCTATCCAGAGTGCCGTAAACGCACTCGGCCACCAACTCGTCCCCCGGAAGTACCTTCACTTCCTTTTCCAGAGTGTGAGACTGCTGGTACTCGAAGTCGAAGTGATTGTCCTCAACTATCCTTGGTAATTCCTTGCCCTGCCTGATATGCTTCAGACTTAGCCGCCGACCGGCCAGGTGGGAGTGCAGCACTACCGAAACGATGTTCACTCCGCTCTCGGGGAACATCTAGACAAGAGGAGATATAATATTTATTGTACTATACAATAAATTATACAATACAATAAAAAAAATAATACTATATTTATTTATATAAATAATATAATAATAAAGTATAATATTATATTATTTATTATTATTTATTATATTATTATATTATTTATATTTATTACACTTTGGTTTTTAGGAATACAATTATACGATACGATGTCGCAACATCGAACGAGATTATTCACCGTGTGCGTGCAATGTGGAGTGCAGTATCCCGCCGTGGCGTATTCCTTTTGTTTAGGGGGGATGAGATGAAGAGGGCTCACTGCAACGCCAGCAACGAGAATCCCCGCCTCCTGGGGGCGAAGTTTGGGAGTCAGGTGAAGGCGTACACCGCTGCTGTCCACCACCTTCCTCATGCTCGGATTATTGTAATGCACCTCCAGCATGTAATAAGAACCTTCCGAATGCTCAGCAATGGAAATGCCGACGTGCTCCGGAAGCCATTCCCCTGCAAGACACGCAACGGCATTCGTTTTATTTTATTCCTCTTCCTCTTCCCTCTCTCTTTACTTTTTAACGAATTTCACGAATTTCTTTCCACTCGAGCCGTTTACCTGTGCTACCCCGAGCCCAGGCCAACACCGGTTGCAAACAGGATTCCCACTCCCGTGGCATCGTCGGACTGTAACAAGGCGCCCCGACGATTCTCGCGTGTTGCCCTAATATTGGCAGGGTCGAAGCGCACTCGTACAATATTATGTGATGGACCAAATCCTCGTTCTCCTTCTCCACCAATGGCGTGTACTAGAAACGAAAAATTTTGGAAATTTTCTTCGCTTGTGTATGTGCAAAGATAATTTTCCATTTTCCATCGAGCGCGAATTCGAAGAATAATGGCGCGAGACAATTTCGAAATATCAGATTAAATAATCTTTAATCTCCCTCTCTCCCTCCCTCCCTTCCTTTCTCTCTCTCTCTCTCTCTCTCTC